CGCTTATGCAGAATTCCAGCGCCACAGAGTGTGTGGGAGCTGGGCGTGCTCAGAAGCTGCTGAGTGTGTACTTGGGTGGGTGGGGCAATTTCTCCGTCCTAGCCCTTCCACGTATTTTCTTTCGTGACTGCTTAATGGGAGATGCATGTGCACATGTATGTATGTGTGTGTGTGTGTGTGTGCGCATGCACACTGCAAAGCAGGGAGACTAACTCTGCACTCCTTCCCGTATTCTCTCCGCAGCGCCCTGGGAGCTGTCGTTGCCCTCCTGCTCTGGGGACAGCTTTTCGCAGCGGACTTGAACAATGATGCCACCGAGATGGCAGGTGGGTCTTGGGGTTGGGGCAGGAACTGTGCGTCCCCAGCGTCCTACTTGGACCCTATCGGTCCTGCCCTGTTTGGGATGAGCCTGTTCCCCCTTCTCACTCTCATCTCTGGGCTTTCAGCACCACGAAGGACATTGGGGATCCTGCCCGGATGACAGGAGACTGCCTTGTCTTTGGCTTCCACGTGCGGTGGAAGGAGGTTGATGTGCAGCTTCCTCTCAACTGGCTTTTCATGGGTCTCTTGCAGCAGTTGCTAAATACTAACCTCCCCTCCTGGCTTCTGTTTCTTTGCAGACGATGGCTGCCCAAAGCCCCCCGAGATTGCAAACGGCTACGCGGAGCACTCGGTTCGCTATCAGTGCAAGCAGTACTACAAGCTGCGCACCGAGGGGGACGGTAAGACCTACGCGTGGTCTCTGAGCTCTCCGCACCCCACCCCGACACGTCCATGGTGAATGGGGCTGGGGTGACAGGCCAGGAAGTTCACAGGTTCTCCTTGGAGCCAGATTTCGATTCTAATGCAGGTTTTGTGACCAGTAGCTGTGGTCCTTCAGGCACACGCACTTTGCTCAGCCCCAAGCTTTCCCTTTTGTTAAGGGGAGGCAACACCTTGTAGCCCACAATTTCAGGAGCTGCGGTAAAAGAACAAATGAAGACGACAGTATGTAGCCCTCATCTAGAGACTTCTACGGCCGTGGCACTATCCTAAGTGCTTTATATTTATTTGCTCAGTCTTTCCAGCACCCTCTGAAGAGATATTCTTATTCTTATTTTGCTGACGAGGAGCCTGAGGCACAGACAGGTTGAGTATGTTGCCCAGGCTCAGGCAGCCTGTAAGTGGAGGAGTCAGGATTTGAACCCCAAACCCTAGCTGCACTGCCTGGCTGTGACTGCCATGGCCAAGTCTGTTCTGCTGGGCTGAACTGTCGCCCAGTGCCTGGCTTCCAGCACGGTGCTCCCCACTTCCTCTTCTTCTTCCTCATCATCTCTTTAACTCTTCCCTTTAAATCCCTTCTCACTCTGTGCTATGTACAGTTCGGTCTCTCTTTTGGCTAATTTCTTTCCTTGTTTCAGGAGTGTACACCTTAAACCGCGAGAAGCAGTGGATGAACAAGGCCATTGGAGAGAAGCTTCCCGAATGTGAAGCAGGTGGGAGCCGATGGTTCAGGGTGCAGGCCAGTGTCCAGGGGAGTGCCGCAGAGGCACGGCCCGCCTGTGTGGCTTCCTCTCAGCCCACAAGAGCCAAGAGGAGGGATCAGGGAGCTACAACTAGCTGGTCAGGCAGAGATCAAGCAGTTAGGTGATGACTCTCGACAGAGCTCACTAACGGTCTTGCTCACTGGGCCTGAAGGGCACTGGCCGAATCCACTGTCCACACTGCCCCCAGATCAGGCGACCCCATGCACACAGCCAGCCAGCCTGTCCAGAGAGCCCTGGGTTGAAGGTAAAGCAAGCTCCAAGAACAAGTCGAGGGAGGACATAAAATCTTAATCCATGGACGTGTAACCGGAGCTGGAGATGGGCTGGGGCTGCTGTTTGTCGCTACTGGGAAGAGCTGCTGCTCTTTTCCCTCCTTGGAACAAGAGGGTCTTGCCTAGCTTCTTCCATTCTTGGTGGTGTGGAATTGCCAACCTGCCTTGTATGAATTGCAACATCTGTACTATCTGACTTCCGGCCAGTGCTGCTACAGACCCCCCTTATTCAGAAAGAATGAATGATCACAGCTCCCAGCCCTTTCAGTGAATTTCAGGGAACTGTGGACATTCCTTTGTTGTGATAAATTGTTTAAATATAATACAGTTCATCAGCCACGGCTCAAAACTCTCAGCATTAGATTTCTTTTGTGAGTTAGAAAGGCAGGAAATAGAACTCTGCTTCGTGATGCAAAAAAAAAAAAACAAACAAAAAACCTGAATTGTTTGAAACTGTAAATATTGGAAATGAGATGAGCAGGTGGTGAGGGCAAAGCATTGAAATCTTCCAGCTCTGAAAGAAAAGGGTAAGGACAGCTCAGACAGCAGCAATGGCTGATGCTTCCCATCCCTCTTTCGCGGTGGGGAGACTCTCTCACACCTCTGCTCACGAGTTTCTTGCTCTTCTTCTTGACAGTGTGCGGAAAGCCCAAGAATCCAGTGGATCAGGTGCAACGGATCCTGGGTGGATCTCTGGATGCCAAAGGCAGCTTTCCCTGGCAAGCTAAGATGGTCTCTCGCCATAATCTCACCACGGGGGCCACGCTGATCAGTGAACAGTGGCTGCTGACCACGGCTAAGAATCTCTTCTTGAATCACACAGAAGATGCCAAAGCAAAAGACATCGCCCCTACTTTACGACTCTACGTGGGGAAAAATCAGCCTGTGGAGATTGAGAAGGTGGTTTTCCACCCTAACTACTCCCAGGTAGACATCGGGCTCATCAAACTCAAACAGAAGGTGCCCGTTAATGAGAGAGTGATGCCCATCTGCCTCCCTTCCAAGGATTACGCAGAAGAAGGGCGGATAGGTTATGTGTCTGGCTGGGGCCGAAATGCCAACTTTCAGTTTACTGAGCTTCTGAAGTATGTCATGCTGCCCGTGGCTGACCACAACAAGTGTGTCATGCACTACGAAGGCAGCACAGTGCCCGAAAAGAAGATGCCGAAGAGTCCTGTAGGGGTGCAGCCCATACTGAACGAACACACCTTCTGTGCCGGCATGACCAAGTACCAGGAGGACACCTGCTATGGCGATGCTGGCAGCGCCTTTGCTGTTCACGACCTGGAGCAGGACACGTGGTACGCGGCCGGCATCCTGAGCTTTGATAAGAGCTGTGCTGTGGCCGAGTACGGCGTGTACGTGAAGGTGCCTTCCATCCTGGACTGGGTTCAGAAAACCATCGCCAACAACTAACTCGAGGCTGGGAGGCGTGGACGGGCGTGGACGGGCTAGGACACGGTCCGAAGCTGATGGGCGCCAGGCCTGCATTGCTGAGTCAACCAATAAAGAGTTTTCTTTGACCCATTTCTGTCCTGTGTTTAGTCCCAGGCCTTTTTTTATCCTCTCATTTATGGTCCAAGAGCAGCCAAGTGGTAGAGAGTCTGCAGAGAGGATGGCAGAAAACACACCAAGCCAGTTGGAAATCCCTAGGGTGCCAAAGACTGTTCCACCCTGGGGAGTCACGCTCACTCAGTGCCTACTGGATGCCAGGTCTCAGAGAGGGAATTGTTGTCCTTGTCTTACAGACCAGGAAAAACAGACATGGAGGAGTTAGTGATTTGCTTACACAGCTATTAAACAGTGAAGCTGAACCGTCAACCTAAGGCTGTTTGAACACAACTCAGCTCTTTTCACTGCATCCTGTCACCCCCTCAAAGTGAATTAGGAGGAAGGGTGCAGGCCTGGTGAGGAAGATGCTAGCTCAAAGTGGGATGGAAAAAAGTGTTTTGACACGGACAGTACTTGATTGCGTTCCAAACTACCAGCACTCCAGAAAACAAAATGAGATGCCATACAGGCAGGAGCTCTGGGCTTGCTGGGTTTAAATCATAGCTTGGCCCACAAATTTGCTAAGTTCTTTAAGCTTCCCGGCCGTCACTTCCCGAACTCTGCCATGAGGGGCTTAAACCACACAACATCTAAAGTCCCTACCAGCAGTAATGTTCTGGGACTCCGCAGAGAGTTAGGAGGTCAGAGTTTTTTCCTCTGTAGGAGCTGCTTTTCCTGCTTGGAAGAAACCTACCTTTCACTGGGAATCAAATGCAAGCCATCTGAGCCCGACCTTCCAAACCTCCCGACCTCCTGAGCCCGGTCTTGCTGTTGAGGGCCTCCAACTCTTGTAAACGGGACGCCCATCTAACGGAGCTCTTTCTTGCTATCAGCCCTCACCAACACACCTCCTTCTCATGCCTCCTTCTCTATGGCCTCCCCTTCTCTCGGTGCAAAATGCCCCTCAAAGCACTCTGTCTCAGCAGGGTCTGGCCTTCCGTTTGCAGTTCTCTCACGAGCACTTTCCAGATCCCTTGATAAATTTCAACAGGTTAGAGCTAGTGGGCCAATGAAGATATGGCCCTACATTCTAGAACCTGTGAAACGGACAATAGCCAGAAACTGGAAAATAGTCAAACGCTTAGAACTACTGATTCTATTAAGTGGTTTCTGGTCACTACTCAGGAAGAAAACAATGATAACAGAAAAACTCTTGGCATTTTCTTGATCCCTGATCTCTGCCCAGCAGCACCGCCTGCTGGCCTGGCCTTAACTTCGGGGTTTCAGCAACACTGGACTCTGTGCTGCTTTCTGAACACCCCCTGGCATGTCCAGGCCCTGGGCCTTTTTCCTCAGGGGCCCTCTGCCGAAATGCCTTCCCCTTACTGTGCACGCACCTCTCGCTCCCCTTTAACACACGGGCACTGCCTCCTCTGAGGACCTGTTCCCCGTACGGAGTCATTTGTATTTACATAGCACATAGTGTGGGATGGGACATGTAGCACGTACTCAATAAGTACTTGTGGAATGGGAAGCAACTAAGAATCAAAAATATAAATCAGGACTTCAGAGAAACAGTCTCTAAAGTCTTCAAGGGGAACGAAGATATGAGAATTTTATGCATGCAAGTTCTGAGTTTTTCCATCTGAGCGCTTACCATACATCAAATACTGTGTGATTTGGACTGAGGAACAGAAAACTCAACTAACAGTGACTTAGGCAATGAAGACATTTATTCTTTCACAGAAGTTGGAAAGAGGCAGGTCTGGAGTTCACTTAGTAGCTCAATAACATCATCAGGCATCAGGCTCTTTTTACCATTCTTCTCAGCATATTGAGTTTTCATCCTGATGCTGGTCGCCTCATGGTCCTAAGACAGCTGCTGTAGCTCCATGCATCGTGATTAAATCAATAGCAGGAAGTGGAGGGGAGGAGAAGACAAGTGGTGGTGACAGGGTTTTGTTTTGTCTTATTGCTGGAGTGGGTCTCTCCTTTTATCAATGGAGGACAAAAAAGGAGCCCAGCAGCCTTCCCTCTATGCTACATTAGCCAGAACAAAGTCTCGCGGTCACTCCTCCTACAGGAGAGACTTGGAAAGGAAGCACTTGGCAAAGGGGGCTGGACTTGCAGTGATGGTGCTGCCCTGAATTAGAACTGCGCACCCACCCTCCCATCCTAGAAGGTCAATGCCAAAGCTGCCATGAGGTTTTCAGAAGAGCAGTAGCTTGCCCAGGGTAGTGCCAGGTGATCCTGGAAGGCCAACAATTCCTCATAAAGTTATCAAAACAGGCAAATCCCATAAAGGTGGTGTTTCTTTCTAATAATTCTGACATATCTTAGTTTTGAGTCCTTGAAATACAATTTTCTGCCTTAGGAAGGGGCGGCAACTTCTGGGAGAGATCTGTTCCTACTTACTAAGAGTAGTTGATCCTTTCTTTCACACCAATTGGGTGCTGGATGGTGTAGTTTCAAGTTCTCACTTCTTTGGCAATTTAACAACATAAAAGCTAGTTAAATGAGCCAAACAGGACAGTGTTTTAAAAGTCAGAGCCAGAAAGGCTCCAAAATAAAACAAACGGGCAAGAAGAGCTATTCTCTACTCAGTAGAGAATTAATTATTCTAAGAGAAACTGGGGTAATAGGGAATGGAGACTTTGTGTGTGTGTGTGTATGTGTGTATGTGCACGTGTGCACACGTGTAGGGTAGAAAATATGTATTTTTGCTCTGATGGGAACTGACTCTTGATTTTACTTATGTGTCAAATAAACAGGATGAACTCAAATTTTACTAGTCAGTGTTTGGGAGGATTCTGTATTATCTTAAAGTATAAAGAAAGCACGCTATAAAGAGAAGGTAAAAAACCAAATCACCCTGGGGAAACTGAACACCACCGGCTTGACTGCTCTGAGGTTCGCAGGGAGCAGACATTTGGGCATCTCAGATAAACGGGGAACCAGTGTGATTTTTCTCCTGAGGGGCTGGTATTTTACACGCGCGCCAAAGCTCTTCTCCGCAGGGACACTGAACACGTTTCTGAAGGACTCCAGGAAACAGCACGGCTGGGATTCAGGTACTGCTTCAAGATGCACCTTTCTCTTCATCTTTGACGGCAGACAGTGTACTAAATGTCTTGATAGAGAAGGTCATATTTAGGAATATTCTTGGGATCAATAGGACTTTGGACAATAAGTTTTCCTCTCATTGCTCCTCGATAGATTACTTCAATCAAATCTATGAAGTCTTGTTTGGTTTTGAAACTTCCCACAAACTTAGTGTGATCTGGAGATCTAGACAGCATAGAAGAGAAACAACTGCTCTCAGAAGTTTTAATAATTACTTTCTGAAGATGTGCAGGATAAACAAAATGAACAGCAGCTTTCTTATTTTTCCTCTTGTCAAAGAGACTTTAGACATAAAGCCTGACATTGATTCCCCCCCCCCACTTGGTATATGGCTATAAAACCAGTGCTGTGGGCCACTAGCATGAAAACTTGTCATGGGAAAAGATTCTACTTGAAAATCTGCTTTAATCACTTTCTCAAGTCATTAGCAAGTAGCATTCAGCGAGTGTTGGAGTGGGCGCTGTTCCTTTGTTGTTGTTTTGGGCTAGTGCAAAGCCCATTCACAAGTCATGGTCTCCAAGTTCTAGTCACTTATATTTTTGAGTGGTAGGTATTAAAATATTTCAAACATCGGGTATGTTTATTATAGAAATTTTTTAGAAAGACATAAAATCATTAGTGAGGCCACAGGTCACCTTTGGTATACATCCTTCCAATCTTATGCATGTACATGTGTATGTGTGTATACATGTATTTCTTTTTTCAAGATATTGGAAATTGTATCATACAAAGTATTTAGGAATGTGCTTTTTTCCAACGGACATATATTTCTTTCAAAGCCATTAAGCATGCATGTACATCATACTAACCTTCTGGAAATGTAATTACTGGGTTAAAAAGTTTAAACACTTTTGTTTGATACATAGTGTTATAAATTGCCCTCTAAAAAGGTTGTATCAAATTAATACTTACATCAACTGCGTTCCAGGAGAACAAATAGCTTGAAAACACTTTAAAACAAGTAATATGGAACATACTTTCAAATAGATGACAAAGAAGGAATATAGATCTAGACAAGTAGACACCTCAACCACAGTAGGAAATGGGAAGAATGATGGATACATTCAATAATAAATATTAAGTATTGGGACAGTAACTGGATGAGGGAGAAGGCATTAAAGAAGACTTCTTGTCACTTATTCTTGACAGGTCTTGTTGAAGAATGATATCAAAATTCTTGGAGCAGCAGAAGATAGGAAACTTGGCAAGAGAGAAGCATATCCTACTTTGCTGGAAGGAATGCTTCTCTTATAAATGCCACCCGCCAGGCCCAAATGTTTAAGAACAGCTACATATTTTGTTTTAAATGAAATTCCTGGGAAACTTTTTAAGTTCTTTATTTAGCTAACATAACTATTCTATATTTTATAGACTTAAGAATGGTTAATGCTTCACAAACTATGATTCCTTCATATTTAAGTTGGAAATTAAAATCTACCAATCATACCTGGAACACTCTCATTTTGTACCAAAGTTTGAAATGACAGAGTATATCGACTAAGGAAACAATATCAATATATGACTCACAGAGCCAACTCACATGGGAATAGGTGAGATACTGAAACTGCTTAAAGGAAACATTCAGGATTGTCATAGGTAAATCATCCTAACTTACCCATAATCCACTTTCATATGCTGCCCATTGAAGAAAAAGACAGTCGATGGAATATAACTGATGTCAAAATACTGTGTATAAACAGGAGTTCGGTCCACATCTACCAGGTATATAGCAGCCATTTTACTTAGGTCAGAAGAGGTCTTAGAAAGCTGCAAATGATAAGAGAGACATAGGTTACAATATGAGAGCTAGCTAATGTTTCTTCTATGAAACCTTTTACTACAACAGAGTATTTTATTTGAAAAAATTTCTGGGCCAAGAATCTAGGCTGTTTGCATTCTACTTTAGACACAGTGTAACCTTATCATCCTGAGTCTGAATCACTGCTGACAGGGTTATGAGAAGACCCTGGGTAAAACTGTGTGAATGTATTTCTTCCTTTAATTTTTTTCTTTGATTGTTTTCATAAAAGTAACCTACCCTCACTTGAAACAAAATAACTTAGAAATATGTAATGCAGATCCTGAAATTCCCTAAAATCTCTTTCCTCCTAATCTTTCCAGAAATGATAACTACAATAATTAGTAGCAAACACTTACATGACACTTACTATGTGCTAACTGTCTTAAGGGATTAACATTTGTTGACTCATTTAATCCTTAACATTTCTATGAGGTAGGTGCTATTAGAGTCACCTTTTTATAGAGAAGGAAACTGAGGCACAGAAAGGTAATCTGCCCCAGGTCACACAGCTACTAGGCAGTAGGGCTGGGATTTGAACTTCGGCAGTGTAGCTTCCGAGTCTATACTACTGATCTCTGTGATGTTTCCCCCTCCCTACAGCTGAGGATATGATCCTCTGGTCATTTTTTCCCCAGGTTAACACAACACACACTCATTTTTAACCACAGAAATGAGGAATCTTACACTTGATTTCTACAGCGGATGGCACCAGCAGAAATGGTGGGAAGAGGCCCTAGTCCTGGGTTAAGTCTTTCTCCATGATGAAATGGACAAGAATACACCTCCCCTGTCCCATACTCCTCCTTCTTACTAATCAGAGTGTGAAGATGTGCTGTGAGATCAGAGATCATCATCAGGACATACTGGAGACAATTCACTAGGGAAGGGTACTGGCAGCTACAGAAAACCGAGTTCAAATCCCAGCTCTGCAATTTAGTGGATCTGTGCCTGTGGGAAGTTATTTGTCCTCCCAGGTGTTTATTTTCCCCGCTGGGAAATGGGGCCATTATTACTCCACCATTGTGGGCATCCATAGATGCCTGTTAATCATGTTTCCTGCCCTTCCATTGCCTTGCTGGCGAAACAGAGCACTGACAGCTGTTAAGTGGGAAGGACGTGTGGGACAGAGTCAGCATAATCGCAGATTTGGGGGTTCAGCGCAGGGCAGGCACATGATCAGCTCTTAGGAAAGTGTACTGGTGACTGAACAGCTTTCTGCTCAGCCCTGCCTGCTCCATCCCACGCACTTTGTGGGTGATGAAGTGAGAATATAAAGATCTTTAATAAAAGCCATTTACTTAAAAAATTCACTTACAATATCATCTAGCTGCAGACAGACAGGATCTTCATCTCTCCCAAACCTGAGAACCAACACCTTCTCTGCAGTACTTTTTATCACCTGGTCTACTTCCTTTTTGCTGGTCAGCTTGGGCAATAGGAAGCTCATCTGGAAATAATTCAAATGTTAATCTTCACTGTCAATCCTGAAATAAAGTTGCAATGTTTAAAGACAATTTAGATTAAGTACGTGAGCCCTAATTTTAAATATATTAATTTTTAGAGTAGGCTATATATTCATCTGGTTTTAAAAGAATCAATATAGAAAGCCACTGTGCAAAGTTTCCCTCCCTTTGTCGCTGCTCCTCGGTCCCAGTTCCCACTGCCCCGTTTTCCCCACACACCACGTAACAGCTTTCATTGCTTTCTGTCTATCTTCCAGAGGTTTGTCATGCATTTGCAGAGACATACAAACATGCGTTTCTATATTTTCTCCCCTTTTTTACCCCAAAAGATAATTATCGTATCAGTCAGTGTTCCAGCAAGAAAACCATGACACTCTAAAATTTGGTAATTTGAAGACAGTTTAATTAAGGGTAGCATAGAAAAGAAATAAGGTAAAGTGCAGTACTTTGGGGCTAGTAACAGCAAGATGCTGTTCCCACCCCTAGGCCGGAAGGAGCCATGGGAAGAAGCAGTTAGCAGAATTGTGTGGCAAAGAGAGGTGAGTGGAGAGGCTGCTGCACAGGCCAGCCTGCGGATAAGGGACACAGCCGCCTTTGCTGGTGCCCCCACTGGCTGACTCCAGCTGGAACCAGAGTGCAGGGGAGCTGCTGAGGCAGGCACACCTCCTGTCCCAGAGCAGTCTAGAGGAGGACGAAGAGTGGCTCTTAAGGGGCAAATGGCAGATGTTCAGCACACACACTTTATCCACTCTTTTGCACTGGCGTTTTTTAAACCTAACGTAAAGATCTTCCCGTAACTCTATATAGAAAACTTCCATATTCTTTGATGTAGCCTTATACTATTTCATGCATGTACCATACATTTTAGACAGTCCTTTATTGACAGACATTTATATTATCATGAATCTTGGCTTAGGGATTCTTAGTGCATACCTGAGTAAGTACATCTCACCACATGGCAAACAGATCAATTAAGAATGTGTGTGAAACCAAAATTAAATAAACAAATCGTAAAATACTGAGGTAGAAAGGGCCTAATCCAATCTCATCATTTTAAAAACTAGTTTGCTTATAGTTACACTTCTAGCTACAAGAACTAGAATACAGGCTACCAAATTTCCAGTCCATGGTTCCTTCTACTACTATGAACTCTTATTTTCATTATTGGAAAAAATTTCATTTCTGAGAAACTCTTTGACCAAGGAGCTAGTTTTTGAGGCCATCCATGAGAGACACCACTGGGATATTTGATATTTTGAATTCAGTTTCAAAGTTGACTAAAACAACGAAAAGAGAGGATTTCTTTCTTTATATTTTTTGTCACAAGTTACATTTTAAGATATGAATGCCAAAAACAAAAACAAAACAAAGCAAAAAAAAAAAAATTGTTCCAGCAATGGGTCATACTTTAAACAGGGATGCTGACTGCCAGAAGGGACTTCAAACATTAACAGAACAAATTATTGATACCAGAGAAAGGGAAAGAGAGAAAATGGTCTGTCCCACCACTAGAATTCAAATAAACAGCAACTCCTCTACATTACTGATAAAAAAGCAGAAGTAAGGGAAGGGCAACATGTCAACAAGCAGTCCAGGAGTGGGATTGGACAAATGTTTAAAAGAGAGAGAAACTGAGACCACACCTAAGAAAATGTCCATAGCAAAGGACAACAACAGAGAATTCCCAGAAGAAGAGGTACAAATGGACAGCGAATAAACTTCAAAAGCTTTACTAGTAAGCAAAGAAAAGCAAACTGATGTTAAACAGATGTTTAAAAATCCATTAAATTGGCAAAAATTAAACAAGATAATAGTACATAATAATGGCAAGAGTACAGCTACAGGAGCAGGTATAGATAGCTCCTGCTAGAACACAGAGAGATAAAACTTTTTTGGAAAGAAAGCTGATATACTCTTCGACCAACAATTCCATTTCTGAAAATTAATTCTTGGTGAATAATGAGACATGTGGACACAGATTTATGAAGAGAGGATACTCATTTCATTTATAATGGTGAAAAACTGGAAACCACCTAAACAGCCATCTGTAGGGGATTGGTGAAATAAATGCTGGTACAGTCCTGCAACACACTACTATAGAACCACTAAAAAAAAAAAGTGATCTCACTTTTGCACAGACCCTAACTATAGCGCATATGTACATATTTAGATAGAAAAATAACTGGAAATAAATATTCCAAAACATCATCAGTGGTTATCTCTGCGTATGAGCAGATGGATGATTTTTATTTGCATCGGGGCGTGAGTCTCTGTTTTTCCGATATATGTATTTTAAAAGTTGCCTGCCGTTGCGCTACTGCTGGCCCACAACTGCCAGGTACGACGATACTTACTTTGCTCGTCACCTCCGCCGCTTCCACGTCAGGGCAGTTGGCACCTGTGTATCCGTTCTCAGCAGAGCCACTACGCCGCAGGCTCCTTTCTTCGGCCCCAAGTAGGGCAGCAACCCTAATCCAAAGTAACCCGGCGACTGTTGCCTAGCAACCCTCGTTGGACAATTTAGCGGGAAGGACGCAGAAAAGGAAAAGGGCCAAACGCAGAAAAGGAACTCCCAGCCATCCACGCTCAACAGCCCAATGAGCAGAACAGGTTCTGGTCAGCGCCTGCGCCAACCGGAAACCAAACGTCACTTCCGCCCTCATTAAATATGGCTGATTTTTTTCTTCCTTCACCCCGCCCCCGACCAGAGGCGGGGTATCACCTCCTAGGCTAAGCGTGATTGGTCGCAAGGAGACTCGGAAGTGTCTCTGATCAAAGCCCCAAGGGAGGTCTGGAGAACGTTGTTGCGTTCTGTCCCACATTTGGATCCAGGAGTCGGCGTTCTCCAGGCTGCTCTCTATGGTATATTTGGACGGATAGAGGGGTCCGCGCAAGGTATTAAGGGACAATAATGGCCGCTTTCAAGGTGTGGATTTTAGCTCTTTGAGGCCGTCTGAGCAAGGGGTAGCAGTGCCGGTGCCCCAGAATCTGGGACAGAAGGGTCCGGAGAGTCGCGCTTGGTGAGGTGAGTGCGCCGTCTTCCTTCCTGACTGGCTCTTCGCCAATCATGGCGGCTCCGGGCCGTGGATATTGGTTCTCTGCTCAGGTCTGGGCCCCGATTTGGGAATTTCCTCTCGTCCCTGTCACGCACTTTGCCTTGCTCACTTCAGGGACGCTGCGCGCGTCCTGCCGGCCCCGGCCTTCCGCCTTCGCTTGTTAGATCCGGCTGCCAAGAGCGGCTTTGCTGAGGTCCAGGGATGTTGCCCAGGGTCGCCCTGAGCCCTCCATCAGCCCACTCCCAGGCTGTCGCCGAGCCGAGTAGGGCTTCTTGTGTCTTCCTCTTTTCTCTCAGTGCTGTCTCCACAAAGCAGTCTGGTGGGCGATCCCTTCTATTAGAATGTCAGCTCCAGGTGGGCGTGGATTTTTGTCTGTTTTGCTATCTTTATCCTTATGGACAAGAACAGCTCATGGATGCACTCAATGAATAATCGTTGAATGAATAAATCCAGGTTCTTTCCTCGCTGTTTTTCGCGTACCCCTTGTCGTTTCTTTGCCATTATTCTTCTCCAGAATCTTGCTCTTTAACTCATTATTATTCTCAACCGCTAGTTAGTTAGGTCTTCTCTTTCAGACTCCTTGTGCTGAGTTTCCTGTTTTTCCCTTGCTGTCTCTAGAAATGTTTGGTTTTCTGTTCTCCTTTAATAAGTTTAAATTCATTCATTCATTAATTTATCCAACATTTATTTTGCTAGGCACTTGGCTACAGCAGACAACAAGAAATATAGGTTTCTCTCACCTGCATAGAATGACATTCTATGGTCTATTTCCTCATTTAGACAACTGCTGAGCAGAGCCTATAGTATATATCTCTACCTTCTTGTCTGGCTTTCCTCACATGCGTGCAGATGTCACTGATATGCAGCTTTCCCTTTTCTGTTCTGCCCGATGACATATTAAAAATGTAACTCTTGTTTTTGTGTCTATATTAAGTGTTCGGTCTGTTTGGCAATACTCATTTTATAGGGCTGTGCTTTTAATTAGAGCTTGACAAAAAATTCTGGATTCTGATGGTATCTAACCCCTCAACAGTTCCTTTGTCTCACTAACTTGTTGGAATGAGGGAAATTATCCAAGCACCTAGAATAGATGCATTTTTATAAGTGGGAGATGTGTAGTGGGAGGTAAAGAGGAATTTGTTACAAGTTGAGTGCCAGGAAGTCTTACAGTCACTTAAATACTTCTCAGTAACACCATTTCCTAACCTAGTGTTTCTCTGAATATTTTTGGTGAATGTGGATTGTTATTAAACTGATTTTAGCTGCTGTGAGTTAATCCTCTTCTAGGAAACACAACTAATCTAAAAAAAGCCAGTAAAGTATGGAGACCATGGATGGTAGTCTTGTAGTCCACGTCTACTTTGCTGTATCTGTTATGTAAAGGGAGGGAGAAGTAGAACTCATAAAAAATTGGTGAGGGACCAATCAGTATATAGGAGCATAGAAAATAAAATATTGTAACAGTTACATTTATGTAACTCGTGGATACAGAGTACTTTCACATACACTTTCTTGTTTGATTGTCACAATAGCTTCACTGGTTAGACAATGCAAAATTGTTTCCATTTTACAGATATAGAATTATGGCCAACCAAAGATTAAGTTATTTGCTTAGGATCATGCAGGTAAAAAATGTCAAGAGCCTGGTTTCTAATTGAGGTTTGTGACTCAGATTTAGTGGGCTTTTTGCTACCCACCCTGTATAGATGCCATTGGATTCTAGTAAGTGTCCCTTAGTGAAGCCTTTTCTTGCCTGGATGATAACCTCTTGGATCCTGGTGTATAGGGGAGGGTGTGTGTGTATCTATTTTGGCGTCTATTAGGATAAAAATAGAAGGGTCTTTTGAGATTGGGAGTGACTTGATGGAAAGGTCATGGTAGCCAAAGTGTTTGTGGTGTTGGGGGGTGTGGGTGCGGGGGAAGGCTAACCACCTAAATACACCCATAATTGCAGTTCTTCTGGGATATAGTAGAGCTGAGCCTTCTCCACTCCTCCCCTTTTATGTCCAATACTAAAAGGTTTGCCTTCCTTCCACAGAAATCCCAGAGCCTGTGATGGGCGACACCAGTGAGGATGCCTCGATCCATCGATTGGAAGGCACTGATCTAGACTCTCAGGTTGGTGGTCTTATTTGCAAGACCAAAAGTGCAGCCAGTGAGCAGCATGTCTTTAAGGCTCCTGCTCCTCGCCCTTCACTGCTGGGGCTGGACTTGCTGGCCTCCCTGAAGCGGAAGGAGCGAGAGGAGAAGGACGATGGTGAGGACAAGAAGAAGTCCAGAATCTCTTCCTACAAGGACTGGGAAGAGAGCAAGGATGACCAGAGGGATGCTGAGGAGGAGGGCGGTGAACAGGCTGGCCGAAATAGCCGGAAAGACAGGTAAAGGCCTTAGGATGGCTTGGGCCAAAGGGAAGCAAATGGTGGTCAGGAAATGACATCTCATGTTTATCTGTTAGTTTTTCTGTTGGATATTTAGAGCTTTATGATTTTATTATGACTGTGTAATATTGATGATAGGTAGTAATTGGTATTTTCTTCAGATTTGTGGGGGAAAATCCAAAGGTGACTAAAGAGTACTTGATTGATGGAAGTTAGAATTGCCTTAGGTTGTTGCCGTATGTAAGCCTGCAGTACCAGGGAGATAAAGTGGAAAAGGAAAGACCATTTGTTTGGCATAGCCAAAGGTCGTGGGGCAAAGATTTTTCCCATGGAGGGCTCTTTACCAGTTGTTCTCCCTGTTCCAGACATTATCGCTCTGCTCGAGTAGAGACTCCATCCCATCCTGGTGGTGTGAGTGAAGAGTTTTGGGAACGCAGTCGGCAGAGAGAGCGGGATCGGCGGGAACATGGTGTCTATGCCTCATCCAAAGAAGAAAAGGATCGGAAGAAGGAGAAATCGCGGGATCGAGACTATGACCGCAAGCGAGACAGAGGTAAACTGTCCAGCATACTTCCTATTGCCTGTTAGCATTTGGGTGAACATGCCAGCTCTTTTTCTGTTGCAAGAGTTTTTACCACACCTGTTAATTGGGGAGCCGTATTTGCATGATGTCATCCTGGTTGGTTTTGGCCCTGGAATTGGGAATAGCAGGCAGTTTAAGAAAAGAGTGGTTGCTTCTAACATAGCTGCTTTGTTTGAGTGTGTACTCCTTGTTTTATTATGAAAATTGGTAAAAAAGGAGATAATGGATAATATGTATAAGAAGCCAGAGTTTATAATGGTGTTGATAGAGAAAGGACAGTGCTATGGAGCAAACTAGAGATACAGTTCAACACTGGCTTTGCTCAGTATTGCTTAACAGCTTATAGACTTGTAACTATTAAAAAACATTCAGTATAGATTTGTAACTATTCTTTTTTGAATTCTTACAGGAAAATAACTGTTACTGTGAGTTTGAAACTTTCTAGCCAGTAACTATATTTCCCCTTGAGAGAATGAGAATATGTGAGTTTCAGGAGCCCAAGGATCCCTTTAGAGCAGAGCAGGTTGCACCTGTGAGTGAGTGGGTGGCCTGTCTGTTCTCCAGGGTGAAGATGTGTGTTCCTTAGGACGAGTGGGGCACAGTTTTGAGCTCTGCATGTGACTTTTCACAGATGAACGGGATGGAAGCAGGCACAGCAGCAGATCAGAGCGAGATGGGGGTTCAGAGCGCAGCAGCAGAAGAAATGAACCAGAGAGCCCACGTCATCGACCTAAAGGTATACTTACCTGTTTCCTGTGGTGCTTTCTTAGGATTCAAGTGCATTAAAGGCAGAATGAGTGATTCCCATCTGCAGTGGGCTTGCTGAGGCATTGAGTCAAAACTCCTGACTCCACCAGGAACCTCCTGGAATAGTTGGTTCTGGGCCAGGTGGGCACAGCCCTGCATTTCTCCGTTGAGATGGACATGCTGCCTTCAAGTGATGCACTAGTTTGCTGAATGGCCAGTTTTCCAAATGGCTAGAAGGATCTTAGGGAGCTGGGGGCAGACGGATTAATTTTTTAAAAATTATTTGTATTCAGGAGGGGTGTGTTTGCAGAGATAAAATGAATATTCCTTAAAATGTCATAAACACAGACTGAAAACTGGACCATTAAAATTCAGACATCCTTAAAAACTATCAAAACCATTTTATCCCTTACAAAGAAGTACATATGTATTTTTTTAAATATTTACTTATATATTTATTTTATTTTATTTTTTCACCTATGATTGTAAATTAATGAGAAAAATTAAGTGCATAATTTATAAATAGTAAAAGGAGTAAATTTGGGGAATTGACTTTTAGCTAATGGTTCTGGAGCCATGTCTTGGTTAAATTATATGTTTCCTGTGGATGTGTGTTTTGTGGCCCCAGATGCAGCCACCCCTTCAAGGTCCACTTGGGAGGAAGAAGACAGTGGCTATGGCTCCTCAAGGCGCTCGCAGTGGGAATCACCCTCCCCAACGCCGTCCTACCGGGATTCTGAGCGGAGCCATCGGCCATCCACTCGAGATCGAGACAGGTGATGTTCCAGGTGGAGCAGCCCAGTTTCTCTGGGTGGGTGGCAGGGGTCTGGGCAGGGAGAGCAGGTGGCAGCCAGGGGAACAGGGCTGAGTTCAGTG